ACTCCTAGCACTGAAGATATTATTAAAAAAACAAAATTTAAAAAAAAAAAACAAAATAAGAGACAGTAAGAAAGAAGAAAATACCTAATCTAATGTGTAGCAGTTACATATTTACCAAATAATGGACTCAAAAGAAATAGATGTTTGAAGAGTGCTTTATATATTAAAAATTGCTTTATGTTTAAAGATCAATGTTTTTGATTGTTTTGAAAGGAAGAAAGACAATGGAATAACATACCCTTCAAGTATGTTTTAAAAAATTATATGAACATTGTGCTCCCTGCCTGCTTGGATCAGGAAACTTGTGCATTACATTTTTTTTGGAAGATTAGCTTTTTAATGGTTTTATCAGATAAAAAGGGTCCTGCAAGAATGCAAATCAACAAAAGCTGGTTTTATAGAGGATCATGAACTATGCACAAACTGGGTTCAAGACTTGTTTTTTTTTCTCAAGTTTTAGTAGTGTATTTAGCTGAATAACCTTTCCTCAGAGTAATTGCATCTCATTGCCATTACACGCATTCTACATATATATTTTATATATATATATATATACACACACACACACCTATATAAAATATGTATGTGTGTATGTGCGTGTTTACATACAGTGCATACAATTTTCCATGCTGAAGTTTAGCATTGAGTTGTAGAAAAACTCCTGATATTTTAAAATTGGGGATGGAAGTTAAAGTTTCTGTTTAATTTTTTTGCCTTTAATTTTGAATTAAAGATGTCTGTAACTCTGAGATTAAAAAAAAACACAAAAAAACATTTGTGGCTTTTAATGTTATTTCTCCTCATAGAATGTGATTGTTAAAGAACATGCACCGAAAGTTGCTTTCAAGAGTACGAAGATTCTTTGAAACTTAATAAATTGCAGTTTTTTCTTCGCTGTTCAAATAAATGTGTATTTTTCTTTTATACAGGGGTCACTAAAGTATTTTGCTAAATCTGTCAGTTACTTTGCAAAGCAAGGCTATTTTTTTCAATATTAATGAAGAGTTAAATGTGAAACCAGGCAAATCACTCCTCCTGTTAAAGTTTCATCCCATAAATATATGCATATTGATGATTGCTTTCTTATAAGCTTTTGCTATTAGCACTTTGCATATCATGTTAAGAACATGTGGTATATAAAAAAGCACATCTTTATCACCTTTTTATTAGAACTGTAGGTTTTTTCTTTAGCCTTTTTGCCTTTTAAAATATTGTGGATGAATTGGTAGAGCCTCTGAGCATAGTGGTCCACCACTGCCATTCTACCTCCATAGCCTCAGCTATTCTATGCTTAGATTTCTCTGGGTCAAAACTGCCTGTCATGCCTCATTTTGTAATGGTAATTTTGCAAAGTAAGTAAATGGTCAATGACAAAATAGTTTGAAGGCACCTCTCAAATTTGCCATTCAGGTTTTGAAACCAAGAGTCAGATTCTTACTTAACTGTAAATCATTGTCATTCCACTGAGTTCAGTCAAGCTATGGTGGTTTATCCCAATTAAAGATCTCACCCTCAGATTTCCAGTAGTGCAAGATTGGGATGTGAAACCAGACTACCTGTTTGAGAAACAGAAAGGACTTGTTACATCTTAATAAAATAATTCAGAGCATCTAAGAGCTTTGAAGTTTAAAATAGTGGAAAGACTCACAATAGCACTGTTATTCTAGCCTAGCTTTCTAAAAATGCAGTGGCCACTGTGACAAATATTTTGCGGGATTAGGTTTTGTTTCCCCCCACTACAAAGATGAGGGTTTGGAAAGTAGCTGGGGATATATAGAACTGCAGCAAACAGCTGTGCAGGACTGCTGAGGTGCTCCAGCTGTTTGCTGAGGCTTTTATTTCAAAGAATACAGACCCTCTATTTGGGCCTGCTGAGGGCTCCAATAGTTTGGAGAAGCAGCACTCTTGGAAGTAAAAGCCACAGCAAACAAATGATTTGTCCTTAATTTAGCAACCACTCTGGATTAAGTAGGTTTGTGAACCATCCAGGCATTAATGATCTTGGTTCTACTATATTAGTGTGCAGTCTACTCTGAACATACTTAAGATAGCTAGCTCTAGGCCCATGTTTCTCATTATGCTGATACCTGAATCTTTTTATTATTACTTTTTATCCATCACTTCAACTGTAAGGACAGAGGATATCTGAATACCTTATATAAATGTTGTGGTGTGTGGTTCTTTCACTGTTTTCTGTGTCCAAAATGGGTTTCCTGCCCCCTTTTTTTCCTTGCTGAAGAGACGTTTGCATTGCAACTCTTGGAAGAGAGCTCTGCCTTTCCTTTTCTTACCTCCCTTTCTTGCCTGGCATTCATAATGAAAGTTCAACAACAGTTTTTCACTTTCATTTGCCAAGACAACAGCATCCCTCAGAGACTCAGATGTTTCAGCCAGGAGAGTTATATTTTTCAGCCCAGCAGAGATGGTTTCTTACAAATCAAAATTATTTTTAGAAATTATCCATCCTGTCAATGCAAGAAAATAAGTTAGCTTTTTGCCATAATTTATCAGCATTAGTGCTTGCTATTACTTTCTTTTTTCATTGCAGCACATTCCTAGCTATTTTATTAGTGATATTAAATAGTCATATTTAACTACTTTTAATAATAGATTATATGTTCAAGAAACATTCACAATAACACACATCAATAGATTTTTTTTGCTTCCATCTAAGTTGCAGTTACCTTCTGTAGCACTTTTATTGCATGACTTCATGTCTTCTAGACCAAGAACATTACTTTTTCATAAATAGTCTGAAACAGTCAAACTTCCTCTTAGTGATTTGCTTAGTTTGCGGACGACACTGGCACAGCAGATTTATTTTGCTATCTCTGCTCCCAAAATACATGGTCATCTTTGATTAATTCAATATATGATTGTGTACATGAAGAGGCATTTTAATTACAAAAATGTATATGAATATTTATGTATGTTAAGGTTCATCAGAGTCGGGAGAATCTGTAAACTGAATTGAAACCTCTAAGGTTGGGTCATGGGTAGCTATGGTGTGGAGTATCCTTGTAATAATGGAGCAAAAACCCACCGTGGTGACCTGTAAGGACCATCTCATAATACTGTATATGAACTGCTGCTAAATGTGTTAGAATTGGTGCATTGTAAAATGACGGTTGTAACTAGTTGTGTCACTGTACTGATGCTGAATGTACAATCTCTTCACAGTTACTTCTGAGGTTTTCAGGAGGGCATTCTAAAAATAGGGCATCGAGATCAAATGAACTCTGTTTGTAGATGATGGATGCTTACTTTATCCTATCCCCCCCACACAAAAAAGCCCTGCTGGTAACTCCTTGAATTGTATAGAAATGTTAATGATTCCTGATGCTGTTCTGGGAAAGAAATTATAAAAGTCCATAATCTGATCTGAGATTGCACAGGCCCATTTAGGGTCCCCAGAGGTTTTTGCATCATGCTTCAATGGCTGTAAATTATTTAAAGTTTGGGGGGCGGGGAGGGGAGCCAAGCTCTTGCTCTGTCACATTCCATCTTTTCCCTTTCAAAACTGTACCAACACTTCAGGAATTTGGAAGAGGCTTTTGTACCATACAGCCAAGTTGTTTGGGAAGGATCCCATCTAGCTTTCAAGATGGGAACAGGGATGGGGTAAGGAACGGGGGTGCAGAGGAGGGAAGACTGTTGATGTCCCCATGTTCTAGTGGTGTCTGGATGGCTTCCAACAATCCACCCATTCTCTCAGGTGAAACATTGCAAGTTACCACACTACGTTCGTCAATGGCAGATCCA